CCCTAAGGTCTAGGTGGCTTATAGCGTGACACAAGCTTTGTGATATCTCGAGCACAATCTGAGTTATGTGGCTGCTCAAGGCTTGACCAAGGTTCAGGCAACTCAAGTCATGACTTAAGATTGGAGGTGTCTCGAGCCTTAACTTGGGCTCCAAGGCAACTTAGGCTGACTTGAGGTTTGAGGGCTCGAGGTGTGACTCAAGGCTTGGGACAATTTATAACTTTGGTTGATTAGGGATCCAAAATAGTTTTAGTTGTGACTTGAAGAAGTATGAAGCAGCTTTAAACGTCACACAAGTTTTAGGTAACTATGAATGTGGTTGCTCTAGGGTGGGTTAAAGAGTTACTCAGGCTCTAAGGTGGCTTGTGTGACTCATGATTTGAAGCAGCTTTAAGACATAACCCCAAAGTGAACCAAACAATGACAAATATTTAGCATATAAAATTTTTAAAAATCACTTTCCATAAACTATACCTACGCTAAATGTTGTTTCTTTAAATTATTGGTGTGAACTTGATGCTAACTTGCCATCTTTTTGGAACTTAAATAGTGGGTAAAATCAGTGGCGGGATAAATCAAAAAGGAATCAATTTCTACAATGATCTGATTGACTTACTCCTATCAAATGGTTAAACTTCATTCTCTTTTTCAATTCTTATATATATCTCAATTACCAAATTTACTAATTAACTTCCGCTAATTTTTTTAATTTTTTGCACTATTCCAATTTTCAAACAGGAATACAACCCTTTGTTACTTTGTTCCATTGGGATCTTCCACAAGCACTCGAGGATGAGTATGGGGGATTCCTCAGCCCGAAAATTGTGTAAGTTAATATCACACTAGCCTTTTCTTCTTTTTTTTTGTTAATTCATTAAGCAACTTTTTGCTATTCTGTCATTCACTCATCCAAATATTGTATGATTGATGTAAAAACTTTTTACTTTTATTGAAAAGATATTAATACTAAGTCATTTAAGTCATTAATGGTAAATATTACACTAGTAAATTATAAATTAATTTAGGTGTCTTTATCATTAATTAATTGGACTTATAAATTAATCATTGATAATTTCAAATAAATTTTTTTATTAGGGACGACTTTCGCGATTATGCCAACCTCTGCTTCCAAGAATTTGGCGATAGAGTGAAACAATGGGCGACCCTAAATGAGCCAAATTTATTTTCCAAGGAAGGTTATGCAACGGGCAATAGTGCACCGGGTAGATGTTCTATCTATATGGGAAATTGCTCAGAGGGAAATTCAGCAACTGAGCCTTATATAGTGATGCATCACTTCATTCTTTCTCATGCAACCGCTTTACAATTGTATAAAGAAAAATATCAGGTTAGTAGGTACTTTTCTACTAGTGATTTTTACAAATATAGACATACGAATTTCAATTTCATTTTACTCAGGCCTTGCAATATGGAACAATTGGGATTACAGTGAATTGTAATTGGTATGTGCCAAAATTTGATACAATTGCAAGTAAGAGAGCTGCCGAAAGGGCTCGTGATTTTGACTGGGGATGGTACGTAAAGAAACATTTACATAACATTTCTATGGCAACATTATTTTTCTAATAATAATTGATGGACCCAATTATTGACATAGCGTGAAACAAAAATAACAAATCTAAAACACATTTAGGTTTAATTAACCTTGGAATCTACTAGAAAATGAAGGGAGAATTCTTTGATAAGAAGTAAAATTTTTATAGAATGCAAGTTGTTCTGGACATTGGCCTTACATAAGTACCATGAAACTTGGTCTCCAAAATTACTTGAGACTTGATGACGAAGTTGACAATAGTCTTGCTCACCAAGACTTTGACTTAAAGACTTAAAATATAGTAAGGAAATTAAAGAAAAGAAAATAAAATAAAATAATGCCAGCCCAATGCATAAAATATAGCCTTACCCAAATTGTCCAAACAATCATTATTATTATTATTATTTTTTTGTCTTTTCAATGTTCAAACAATATTTATCTTTGCCATGTTCAAACAATCTTTATTCCTTGGCTTCTTCATGTCCCTTTCGGATTCGGCCCAATAATTTGGAGGTATAGTGTGCGCATCTATCTCTCGAGTTGTCCGCAGGTGGAGACAATTTTCTTCTATTTTTTTACTCCAAGTTTTTAGATTTAATTTAAATAAAAATATTCAGATATTACCAAATGCTAAGCCTCAGTCTTAGGTATGGGTACTTAGAATTTATATTTAGTTTAGAGTTTATATAATTAGTTAAGAGTTTTAGAATTTAATATTTATGTTTTAATGTTTAAGGTTCATACAATATGGTTTGGGATTGGGGCAAATTATGATGTTTTGATAATTAAAATGTTTGGATTAATAATGAAAAGATTAGAATATTCTTAATGAATTAATACACAAAAGGAATTTATTAAGGGCCTTTGAACAATTTCATAAAAAATCTTAACATTTAAAATGTTAGAACATCCTAATTTTTACTTTTTTCATATAATTTAAGGTTTTAACATCAGTAAAAATTTAGAATTTTAGGATTTTTAATTAAAAAAATTAAAAAACAACTTATTATTTTGATTGATCCAGTCCTAACATAGCATTACCCTTGTTTACCTTTTTAATTTTTTTTTATAGGAGCAAAAATGGTTGAAATTGTTTTTTTTTTTTTTTTTAAGGGCTATACATCCAGTGGTTTATGGTGATTATCCCAAAATAATGAGAGAGATGGTAGGGAACCGGCTGCCCAATTTCACAAAAGAACAATCTGAAATGATTAAAGGGTCATTTAATTTCCTTGGAGTGAACTACTATACTACAATGTATGCCGAAGACTCTGGATATGATACCGGTGCCAACTTGAGCTACACCACAGATAGTCGCGTCAATACTTCTAGTAAGCTTCAACAACTTGACACTTAAATAATTTTGCAAATTATATTGAGCATGCATTGCAACATGTTCCTAAATCATTAATTTGATTTTAATTTTACTATTACAGCGGAGAAAAATGGAATTCCAATTTGTGAATCGGTGCGCACTGTCTTTAGCTACTTTCTCACAAGCTCTCAAATTGAATTATTACTTTACACCATTGGCAGAGCTAGGGGGTCCTTATTGTCTCGGGTTCCCCTAAGCTTTTAAAAAATTACTATGGTTTAAATTTTTTTTAATTATTTTTATCTTTAAATTTTTATTTATTTTACATGATTCTAATCTATTTTTTATCGACTTTTCATTTTGCCCCCTTAATTTTTTTTTTTTTAACTCCACCACCACTTTAAATCAAATTATTCTACTAACAAAAATAATTTTGTAGACAAGTATTAGCTTTCTATACATTTGTCCATGGGGACTTCGAGATATTTTGCTATATATAAAAGGAAGATACAAAAGTCCAACTATCATTGTAACGGAGAACGGTAAGGTTTTTTGCTATCCAATTTCTAACTTCTTTCTTTTAAATTGTGAGAAGCTTGAGATAGATATATAAACTTGATCATTTACAGGAATAGGTTATGTTGTCAACTCGTCATCAACAATAAGTGATTTTATCAACGATAACGTGAGAATAAAATATCACAGTGTCCATCTATCATATCTATCCAAAGCAATCAAGTCAGTAAATAGCTAGTTTCCTAGTTTGAATATTCTTTACATTTTGAATGTACGTTTCTCAATGTCTTATTTTTGGCTTAAGATATAAGTAACTATTTTTGCAGGGAAGGAGTTGATGTGCGGGGTTACTTCATTTGGTCATTTCTTGATAACTTTGAGTGGGATGACGGTTATACTATCCGATCTGGCATCACCTATGTTGACTACGTTAATGGGTTGCAACGATATTTCAAGAATTCTGCTTTGTGGTTCCATAATTTCCTTAAAAAGGAAAACATAGCTAGTGCTACTAACTTGTCTCTATTATATTTTGAGTGATTATGTTGAATGATCATCACTAACATTCTAGAAGCAAGGAGATATTTTGCAGAAGTTAGAAAAATCAAGAAAAAAAAGGGGATAAATCTAGAATAATGAAAACAATTTAAGAATATAGTCGGTGTGTAGAATTGTGCAAGTTGATGTATTTTCTTTGAATGTTATTTTTTTACTTGTTTTGTGTAGGAGTACCATTTGTAGAATTTTGTGTCTCGGATTATTTTAGTAAAAATAATTTATCAGGCCTCTTTTAAACGATCTCCGTTGAATTTCACAATATCTCACTTGCAATATGTCAACGACATAGTCCTTTTAAGGGAAGCATCCTAAGAGGTCATTGGGTGTTTAAATGTATCTTTAGGTGGTTATAATTGACATCTAGCCTTAGGATTAATTTCAATAAGAGTGCTCTTTACAACACTAATGTGGATGAATCCTAGCTAAATGTCATGCCCCAAAACTAGGAGCGATACAGACACCGTATACCTATAAATGCCCACAAGTGTGTACAAGGTTCAGAACTAGTTTAATATATTATGCAATAATCCATATCTTCTAATAGTCCACTAAAATCTATAAAAAGAAATAACTTACTTGATTTAAAATCTAAACTCAATCCACTAACAAGTGAACTAGTCAACTGGCACACCACTTGCCCCAATCCCAAAGACTCAAGTCTAGTTACATAAAATGGTGGACAGGAAGAGAGATGTGAGATAAATCTTAGTAAGTAAATTATAGGTAGCCACACTTTAATTTAGAAGAAAGCATGATGGATATAGATCATTAAAACAGTGCTTCTAGTTTCAATCTCATAATGCATAATAATAATAAAAAAAATCTCTTAGTAGTCTCCTCATTCAGTCATGACTAGTGTTTATACTCCCACTTGCAAGATAATAAAATTAACCAGTGTTTACACTTCCACTAGGAGGATAATAGGAATTATTAGTGTTTACATTGCCACTGGCAGGATAATAGAAATAACAACAAAATTGGAGACAAACAATGTAGGCATTTAAATAGGGAACATAAGTCAGATTGTTTCAGACATTTAAACAGGAAAGTGAAAACATAATCCAAATTGTTTCAATAGGTATATCTCATTAAAAAAAAAAAAGCATGCCCAAGCTTTAATAAATAACAATTATAAAACTTAATATCAAAGCATGCCGTACTTATATCAACATAAATCAGGTTAGATCTTGCCACTACCTTTCAAAATAGTTCAAAAATATGCTTTTAAAACCTTAGTTTAGAACCATTGGCAAAACTAAAAATTTACTTACCTCACTTTGTAGAGAATTAAAATTCCTCAAAAACTAAGAATTTAAATATAAAAAATGTTTAAGAACCATCAAGTAAAGACAAATAATAGAGCTAAGGATTGCAAAAAATTTGGGCGTCAGATTAGCAAACACTAGATCAGCAAGAACTGGAGGGCAAGTTCTAGTCAAATTATGAATTAGAATTTCCAATAGAATTTGCACCTAGAAATTGACCAAACTGTCCTAAATGGTTATAGACCAATTGTAACCTTATGTCTTAGCTTTCAATAGGGTCAAGAATCACCTTAATCCGAAATCTATAGAGGAATTTACGGCCAAATTACTAACACAGGGCCAAGCTATCAATTCGAATCAAAATTAAATGCTAATCTTTCTTTTATTTGATTTACCCAAGTGTAATAATAAAAACATGTCAAAGCTAATTCTTTTACCTTGTATCCCCTCAATAGATCTTCAATCCAATAAGAACAACTAAATAAATTAGAAATCAAACCACAAAATAGTTGCTACTTACTCTCATTATTACTTCTAAAAGTTCCTGAACAACCTTCAAATTTGTGCATATCCAAAACTAATTTCTGAAAGTTCCAAATTGTAAGTTAACATAATTTCTAGATTCCAATATAAAGATTTAATGAAATAACCAAACTAAACAGAACTTAGGTTTACCAATTTATCAAACTACAATGGCTCCATTTACCAACCACCCTCTTCATCCAACTATCACTCAAATACCTGAATTTATTTGAGTAAAACAGATGGAATAACAACACTTAAAGTGTTCTAGCAGCCAATTTAGCAAGCACTAAAATTTTATTTGGGTAAAACACATAGATTAACAGCACCCAAAGTGTACTAACAAATTCAGCAAACACTAGAATTTATTTGTGTACAAGAGGTAATATAGCAACACCCAAAGTGTTCTAGCAACCAATTTCGTTCCACAATTCAGCACTAATTAATTAAAATCAACTTAGAGCAATTGTTACATACTAGAATTTTTCCAGCAAGAGAGCCAGATTTGGCATTCACAAAGTGATAGAATTAGAGGGAAGAACTGTGAAAATTATCGCCCAAAATTAAGATGACAAAATATTAGAGTTAACCCAACTCAATCAAGGATGAAAAGATGACTTGTGGCTATTTTTCTTACCAGAAAGTTGTAGAAAGAACACTTACAGAGTAGTTAATCTCTGCCAAGAAAGGAAGAATGGACAGTAGCAATCTTGATTAGGAGAAGAAGAAGCATCATGGAGAGACTAGGAGGTCGACGGCTTCAAAAGTTTTGGATTTAGAATGGAAGAGAAGAGGAAAACTAGAAAAAGAGAAGAGGAAAAAGCCCGAAAAGGGAATTAGGTTTCCCTTCTTTATTTTGTTCATCCCTCCCTCCCTCTCTTTTTTTTTTCACTGACATCCCCAAAGTTGAAGAGTTATGCAACTTGGTCCCCAAAATTTCCTTTTGAGTAATCATCCCTACAAAAATTAATTAATTAATTATTCAACATAATTGCCCAAATTTTGGGGTATTGCATCTACCATTCGCTAACAAGAGTTTTGTCCCCAAAACTCCAATCTAAGATCATTTAGAGCAGTGAATGGTTTCACACAATCTAAAGACAAAACCAGTGCTCATCATATGACAAACCATCATAGAGCTAATACAATACAGAGTCAATAACTTAAATGGGATCAGAATATAGCTCTAAATCATATATGTATTGAGAAAACAACTTGAGCACCCGTTAGGTTTTTTAGCAACCTATAATTCATAAGCTGCCCCATTAACCTTTTTTTTTTTCTTCTTACGAATAGAACATGGCCTATTACTCTTCCACTATGCAACTTTGATATCAAACCGAAACTAATCTAAAGGTAGATCACTAGCTACTTAGTGGGAATAACCATGAAACTAATCCACAAAACAAGCTACTAGAAGCTAGGGCAACGTAGAAAGCACAAGGAGTAGAAAATAGTACCAAAGGCTAGAAAAGTACATTAGTCGAATTATGTTACATTAACCCATAACAAGGATGAGTGAACAGGAAATGATGCAAAAGAATTTCAATACATCGGCCAAGTAGAGACTCAAATCATGGCCTCTCCCAAACACAACAATTAGCTTCATCAAATAGTAACTTAAAATTCCAAACAGTACTCATGAAAACCAAAGGAAAACACTTAGAGAAAGCCACAAAGACAAATTTTCCCATTTGTTGCAACAATTTTTTTTTTTGTTAGCAAGGATATGTTTGAGGGTATAACTTAACTCAAGAGTCTACAAAGGAACTACAGAGGGTTTAAACCCTTTAGAAATCAAATTTCAAATTTCGAGATAACTATCTCTATTTCTAAAATCACAATCCAGTAACCCATTTGTATTCTATGCTTTAGGGTAAGATATGTCTAGAAAAACTAAGGCCATCGTAAAGTGAAATCTCTAGCCTGAGCTCAACACCATCATAAAATTGATGGAGGAAGAACAGCACATAACACCTTATGAAGTCAAGGTTTTTAACAAGATCCAATAACCTGGCATAATTAGATGATAACCCTTAACAATCAATTTCATCTTTTGCTTCATATTTCTTCACTACCCATCAATGCTTAAGAAGCTCAACAGAATCACTAGGCTCAATCTTGGGCATTCTATCACCGTCACCGCAGCATTTAAACGATACTCAACCCTTCCCTTAAACCCTTACGCAAACCCCACAGAGCCCTTAACAAAACCCCAGCTCAAGATCCTGGTTCTCTCCCAATACTCTCATGTGAACTTCTCCAACCTTGTCCACAATGTCATTGCTTTGCCCTCTGTCCTCCTCACTGCGTGCCAAAACCTCACCAGCCCTGGCAACACAACGCCAGAGACAACTCAGTTGCTCCCTCATTTTCTGGATTCCGTCTCCAAACGCTTCTCCATAATTGAAATGAGTGGTGAAATTAGAGAAAATGAGTTTGATATTGAGTCTTGCTGTGTCAAAAATGACGCAATGAAGGGATAGAGGTGAGCCTCTGGTCCTGCCCAATTTGAAATTGAAGGTCTTGATTGAAGCTATGAGGATGGTATTGGAAATTGTCTATGATGAACGGTTTGTCACATTTTCTTACGGTGGCTGTGTTGGTATGGGAAGGCATACTGCAATTAGGTACCTTAAAAACTCTGTACAAAATCTAAGTTGGTGGTTTAGTGTTTCGTTTAACCGTGAGAACTTTCAGAAGTGTAACATAGATAAATTGTGTTTGTTTATTGAGGAGAAAATTAAGGATATTATGTTGATTGGTATGCTCAAGAGGTTGTTTGAATGTGAAGTAGTGAGCATTGAACTGGGTGGGTGTTATTTAGGAAGAGGGTTTCCTGAGGAATCTGGCTTGTGTTCAATTTTGATTAATATTTACTTTGATAGTTTGGATAAAGAGATCCAGGATATGCGCCTTCAAAATGAATCAGAATGATCCCAAACTTGATTTGAATGAGCTTGTTTCCGCCTCAAATGTCTTTTATAAGCCGGAAAAGATATATGCTGTAAGGTACTTGGATGAATTATTGGTAATAACGTCAGGGTCTAAGATTTCAATATTGGATTTGAAGAACCAGATCTTGAAATTTTTGGAGGTGAATTTAGATTTGAAGGTTGATAGGGTAACAATAGCTGTCCATAGTGGCTGTTTCAGAGAAAATTAACTTCTTAGGGATGGAACTGCAAGCTGTTTCACCTTCAGTTTTGCATCCCCCTATGTCAGAGAAAGCAATTAGAGCAAAGAAGAAGTGTCTCAGACAGAAGGAAGTTAGAGCTTTGGAATTGAGAAATGCCTGGGAGGGGAATCGGAGGAAATTAGATATCAGTGCCTTATCCAACAAAGGTAGAGGGCACAAACTAATCTACCGGTGCCATTTGCCAAAACGGAAAACTACCAGTCCAGCGTAGATTATTTATTTATTTCCCCAATCAGTCCAAAATGAGAAAAAAGCACATCATATTTATCAACTACCACAATGATTCCCCCATCAAAAGCCAATAATAATAATAATAATAATAATAATAATAATAATAATAAACAAAACAAAACAACATCTACTACAATGATTCACATCTAGCTAACAAATTGTAGGGCGCATGATATCCATACTTCTCTCTCTCTTTTTTTTTTTTTTTTCAGCGTATACGTACGTTTCCACATGCATGTTTTCTTACTCTATTTATAGACAGCAGAGGATAATGGAGAAATGCCATACATGAAAATGGAGTTTCGTTTAGTCCTCTTCCTTGTAGCACTGATTTCATTTTTAGCTTACTTTGAAGGATCAACCGCTCTAAATCGGAGTAGCTTTCCTGATGGTTTTATCTTCGGAGCAGGATCGCGTGCTTACCAGGTAGGCCATTTAATAGAACGACTGCTTCATATTGGAGAGGCTTAAATCTCTTACTTTAATCTCAAATCAATATTTTATAGTTGAGGCCAACTTGACTAAACTCTTGTTAGTTTATAGAATGATTGTTAATTTACTTTTAGTTAATCCAAATCAATATTAATCAGACTTTCAGTTGCTGTTGCCTTCCTTTTATTAATTAACCTCTCTTTTAAAATCAGTATGAAGGGGCGACAAGGGCAGATGGGAGGCAACCAAGCATATGGGATACTTTTGCGAAGTTGTATCCAGGTATCTCTCAACATATCTAAATCTCTTAGTTGTCTTAAATAGATGCTGGTGTTTTAGAATAAAAAAAAAAAATGATGTTTGCATTTGTGATGAAGAAGAGAGTGGTACTCAATATATCAACATCTGTTTTGTGTATTGGAACATATTTTATCATTCTTAACTGTTTAATAATAATTCCTATTTGTACGAAAAAAATAAAAACACCTGTTTTGTTAATTACATCGCAAAGACAAGCCCCTCACTCTTTATTCCCCAGTTTATGTGGGTTATGTTAAGTGATGATATCTCGTTTGTTTGTTGTTTGTTTTTTTTCTTTTTTTTCTTTATCAGCAGTGGTGTTGTCTCGTGTAGGTTAACTAGCTATAAAGCTACCGTTGAAATGGTTTTGTTGTTTTTTTTTTTTTTATCATTCAAATAAAATATTTATTATATTAGAGTACAAGACATATTTTTACTTTATTTATATATATTATAACTAATATATTGTTATTTCAAGTTAAACATTCATTTTTTTAATATAAAAAGTCAAAATAGTCAATCCAATCATACAATAAAAACCCAAATGCACTTTAATTTATCCTTTACCCACGAGGACTTAGCTTGTATTAATTACCTTCATTAATCCGTGTGCATCTGCCTCCAGCCGTTTAAAAATCATCCAGTTTCTCAACCCGCACCGATGCCAACTGACCGAGATGAACGAAAAAGACCAAATAGATTTTGTCCTTTCATGCTGTTACCCAAGTAAGTTGCCATAAAACTTCCTTCACACTGCCGTACACTGATATGTATATAAATACCCACCAAGCTAAAATCTTCAGGCACACATTGTAAGATAATGAACACTGC